TAGAAGGAGAAGGAGAAGGAGAAAGAGAATGAGAAGAAGAAGGAGAATGAGAAAAAGAAGAAGAAGAAGAAGAAGAAGAAAGAGAAGGAGAAGAGAAGAAGAGAAGGAGAATGAGAAAAGAATGAGAAAAAGAATGAGAATTAGAAGGAGAAAAATGAGAAGAAGAAAGAGAAAAAGAAGAAGAAGAATGAGAAGGAGAATGAGAAGAAGAAGGAGAAGAATGAGGAGGAGAAGGAGGAGGAGAAGAAGAAAGAGAAAACAACAACAAGAAGAAGAAGTTAAAGAAGAAGAAAAAGAAGAACAAGAACAAGAAGAATAAAAAGAAGAAGAAGAAGAATAAGAAGAAGAAGAAGAAGAAGAAGAAGGAGGAGGGGGAGGAGGAGGAGGAGGAGGAGGAGGAGGAGAGGAGGAGGAGGAGGAGGAGGAGGAGGAGGAGGAGAAGGAGGAGGAGAATGAGAAGGAGAAGGAGAATGAGAAGGAGAAGAAGAAGGAGAATGAGGAAAAGAAGGAGAAGGAGAAGGAGAAGGAGAAGAAGAAGGAGAATGAGAAAAAGAAAAAGAAGAATAAGAAGGAGAAGAAGGAGAATGAGAATGAGAATGAGAAGAAAGAGAAGGAGAAAAAGAAGAAGAAGGAGAAGAAGAAGAAGAAGAAGAAGGAGAAGGAGAATGAGAAGAAGGAGGAGAATGAGAAGGAGAATGAGAAAAATGAGAAGGACAATGAGAAAAAGGATAAGAAGAAAGAGAAAAAGAAGAAAAAAAAAGAAAAAGAAGAAGAAGAAGAAGAATGAGAATGAGAAGAAGAAGAAGAAGGAGAAGAAGAAGAATGAGAAGGAGGAGAAGGAGGAGGAGAAGAAGAAGAAAGAAGAAGGAGAAGAAGGAGAAGAAGAAGGAGAATGAGAAGGAGAAGGAGGAGAAGGAGCAGAAGGAGAAGGAGGAGAAGGAGAAGAAGAAGAAGAAGAAGAAGAAGAAGTGTGCATGTGAATAACATATTTGAGCAATCAACGATGGGGTGAAAGAGAAATGGGATAAACAGTTCAACGAGATAGGGGTATGTTGGTGATCATTACTGATTTTTTTTTTTGCGGGAGAGGAAAGGGACGACTAAGAGAACAGAAATTCCAATTTTTAGTAAATTAGAAAATTTATATAATTAAAATTTTAATTTTTAAATAAAAATTTAGATCAAATGTCATTCAATAATTGAGTGAAGATTTTTTAACAAACATTAAAAGTGTAACCTTAAAATAATAACAAAATACAACATCAGACATATATATATATATATATATATATATATATATATATATATTAAAAAACTTATTTTTAATGAATAAAAAAAGATAATATCTTTTTATTTTACTGGCGTTGAGTTTTGGGATGATCCCTTCATTGTCTCTAATTCCCTCTATCATAAGTTTTATACATTTATACGGTGCGTTTGGTTTTGTAAGTATAAGATTATTTCTCACACATTATGATTACTATAATGTAGTATTATCTGACACAGTATCGATAATGTTATATTTATCTTGTTTAATTTATTTAGTATAATTTAAGATAACAATGTTTGGTTAAAATAATATAAGATTAGATAAAAATAAATTTTATTAATTTTCTTTCATGATATTTGTACGAAAATTCATATAATTATTTATGGAAAACAGTCTAAATTTGATAGAAATTTTATATTTAAATATTATTAATACAATCAGTGTATTATACAAAATTTAAAAATTTATATAAATAAATATCTTATATCTACTTTTATCATAGTATATAATAAGACTAAATTAATTTTTCAGTGATTAAAAATAAGTACTTAATTTATTAGAAAATAGTTTAGAGTTGAAAATTCACTCTTGGACGAATTCAAGGTTTCCAACAAGATTTTCAACTCCTAAAAAATCAAAAAGTAAGATGGTTATGAAAATTCGAGTTTTAATATGTTTATTATCAAATTAAATTTGCATGAATTTGAGAAATTTATGACAATTTCGTTATTCTAAGCTTAGGATTCAAAGTAAAGCTTAAGGTTGAACTAAGTTTACATTATCCCAATCAAATTTACAATATGAACTAGATATTTAGATAAAATGTTTAGAAAATAATATTAGAGACATTATGAACGTATTGTTAATTAAAATATATTGAATATTAAAGTTTTATTTAAATATGTAACATAATTTAAATATGAAATTAATATGAAATTAAAGCATTTAATAAATATACATCTTGAATAATTATCTGCCGAGTTAAAAAAATATGTAACAATTAAATTAATACGAAGAAATCTCATTTTTATCTAAATTAAAATTGACAAATATCTAAAAAATTACGTGAGAATAATGTTTTAATTTTTAAAAAAAATACTATTATTGATAATATTTTCAGCCTAATAAGAATAAGAAGAAAGAAAATATAAAAATAAAATCCTAGAAAAAATATTATCTCTAAAACTATTTTCTTTTCGCGAACTAAGCTTTTGAAAATATTCTTGGCCAAGTCTCAACAGAGAAGAAGTAAATTGGAATAAGAAGTGAGAGAAATGTGGCTTACTTCCATTCCCATATTGCTTTTGGGCCAGTTGGAATGACACTCTTGCCGAGTAATCTTTCTAAATTATCTTTTTCAAAGTAATCTTTCTACATTTTCAATCCAAGGTAAAAATAAACCATTAATTGTGAAAAATAGGCAAGAACTCAAAAATAAATGCATTGTTTCACTAAATTAAAATAATTTAGATAATTATAAAAATAACACACCACAAATCACTACAAATCGAACTAATTTTTACAAAGTAAAAAAATCAGACAAAACTTTAATTATTATAATTTTGGAGAAAATCTGTATATAATCGAATTTAAACAAAAATAAATGTAAACAAAATTCATAAAGTTTAAAAAAGATTAGGTAAAACTTTTCTCTATTCCTTTTAATTCATAAAAAATCCATCCCTATTTGTTTAGGCTACAGAGGAGCATCAAATAAAGGCAAAATAAGCCTATAGAAAACAAGGCTAAAAAATTTGTATAATAATTACATAATTATATAAATTAAGTGTGTTCAAATAGTTAATTTGGTTATCGATCAAACTTAATTAGTCAATCGAATTAATAAAAAAATCTTTAATCTGTAATCAAACCGAGAAGTGAAACGCCTAACGCCTTGGCGGACGAGATCCAGAGCAGAAATCCCACAGAGGCAATACACAGCGCCTCGAGCTCTGGAACTAGTATAAATAATTGCAACTCCATTTCGGCAAATCACGCAGCTATGCAGTGACCATAAAACGAACTATTCTTTCACCTTTTAATAAAGAATACCGTGTGCTCGCTGCAGAAAATGACAGCTTTTTCTTGGAAAGGGCCCTAAAATTGTAGTTAAATGAACATTTGTTTATAGCAAGTTCTCTTATGCAGTGGTTCTTCTGGAGTATTTGTTTATTCAATCGAACATTCGGTTATCGATCGAACTTGCTGTTAAACGAAACTGACGCGGTTGCAGTGTTGGAAGAGAATGACTTTCTCCATGAAAGTGCTTATTAATTTCTCCAATAGAAGTGTATACAGTTTGAGGATAAAGAAAATTGCATAACGTTACCTGAAGTAACTTGAACTCTCAAAAAACACATAGTAAACAGAGGATTTTACTAACATATACATCATCACTCTCTCTTAGCATTATCATACAAAACTTTGTGCATAAAACCCATAACTAATCTAACCCTGATGAGAGTGTAAAGACTACATATCTTGTGAAAACAATTAAAGCCAAGTATGACCTATGGGTGACTTTCTTAGAGCACTGCGCTCAACATCTCATTCCAAATATCTGGCACACCAGGGAGGCACCAATGACTACAGCAGGATGAGAACTCAGTCGGGTGCCGTCTCTGTGCTTGGTTCAATCCCCTTCTACAAACTGAAGGATGCCCGTCTCCTCAAAAATGCGGCATCGTCGTAACGTCATGTAGATACACTGGAAGTCTCATTCTTCTTAATACCCCTTTCAGAACTACAGCTTGGTCAGGAACATGAGGGCGGCTGAAAATTGAAGGGGAGCTTTCTGGTTATAGCATTTCCAACCATTTTGTCTACAGTGAACAAAACAAGGGAAAGAAGAAGAAAAAAATAACTTTGTTTAAGATACCATGGTGTTGATTAACAGATTGGTGTTAGAAAATTGTTATTGAATTTATTAACCAAATTGGTTAGCTCTTCACGTGATTATGATGTAAGGACTGAGGAGGGCTATATAAATAAGGCTAGGCTTCTTGTAATCGGTGCATTTTTCTAGATATACTCTTTCATGCTAAAGCCTTCTGTTATAACCTTAGTAAATCTCTAAAGCTAACACATGGAGATAATAAAAGCTTAAAGTGAGTTGAATTTATGCTTTGTTTGATACTTGTTATGCCTAGGCGACATGGTTCTGAAAATAACTCTGGTTTCGTTTAAAAGCAAGTGTAGCTTTTTTGGAGGTTGGTTCTTTGGCCTCGAACAAAGCATGCAGCTTATCTATTTCTCTTCCTTTTGTGGTTTGGGATTGATTTGGTTTAGAATCGGGCAATACATATTGGAGCAGTGGGAGTAGAAGCAATGGTGAGAGGGAATGTCCAACGGACAACAACCTAATTTAAGGTTAAGAAACAAAAGGGAAAAACACAATCGAAAATGTACATAATTTTCGGTTGGGCAGCATAAAATGTTAATTTTTTCTTAATATTTTTTGGTTGCACACCTTCTTTATAACATTTTTCGGTTGACAACAGAAAATATTACATTTTTTATAACAATAAAAAGATTGACATTTTAGGTTGCACTCAATAAAAAATGTTAAGTTTTTTTATAACATTCTCAGTTGTGCTCATTCTCTGTTGTTTCTTAGTATTAAATTAGGTTGTCGTACATCAGAACATCTCAGTAAAAGGTTGAATATAGGGATGGGCATTGTTCGGGATGCGGTTAACCCTACCAGACTCGAAAATTATATACCCTCAACCCGACCTGACCCGAAATAATATATTTATCCAAAAATAGCAATAATAGTTGTTAGGAATGAGTTTGGAATATGGTGTTTTGGATTTATGCATTTTATTGGGATTTGTTCGATCTAGGATGCTGAACTATGGGGAGCTTATCATGGCCTTGTTTACGCTTGGGGGAGAGGCTTCCGTCGTATTATTTTTTTACTTGATAGTACTATAGAAGCAGGACGAGTATTGAGAAAGGATTATAAAGGTATCCACTTCCTTAAATGGCACTTACATGAACTATGCAATCGCAGTTGAGAGATTGTGATCAAACACATACCCCTTTAGGGTGACATGGTGACCGATGCTTTAGCTAAACATGTTCCAGATGATAACTTGAAAGTTGCTTTCCTACCTGAATCGCCTGTATGGATTTTTTCGATTTATTTGGCTGATAGCAATACTAGGAATCGTCTTATTAGTGATGGAACAAACTGTAATCCTTGATGTTAGATCATGTACTCTTTTCCTCCATATAGGTTAGAGAGATTTTTAATGAGATGCAATTTAATGTCCCTTGTATGATCTCTTTCAATCATACAACTTCACAAAATAATAATAATAATAACAATAGTCATAAATGATTATATTTTCAAGAGTTATGAACATCTATATTTTTCAACGGATAAAAATAATTGTATCCAATCAATAGTGAATGTTAATTCTTTTTATTACTAATACATATTTCAGTAAAAAAACAGTCATTCAGATTGTTTTATTATTCTAATGTGAGTATAAGATAGTATCTTATTGAAGAGTCACAATTATTTAATAAATAAATGTTCTTATTATTCCCACATACGTCATGCTCAAACCTAAGACCTCAAAAGGTACAACAATCTCTTAACCTAATATCGATTAGTTCAACGCCCATTCGAATTTGAAATATCATAGGTTGTATGAAAGAATACACATTACAAACTCATAGGGTCGAGTTATTCCCAATGAAATGGATTTAATATTATGAACCCCAACCAGTGTAATCCCATGTTTGATGTTTCATTACCCCAGTCTAGGACAAACTAAAGACAAAAACGAATCTGCTGATAATCCAACCAAGGCGTTGACAAGCTGCCTGATGGGTGAAAAACTACCTGACCCCATTATAGTTTAAGCCTCATTAAGCTACCCGACCAGCCTGGTCTCGTACTATTCGCCGACCTAACTGAATCTCCATTAATCAAAACATAAATCTGTCTCTTTAATTTACACTTAAAAGAAGAATGAGCACTTATAAGTAGCTAAGCATGTGGGATTACATGTTAGCTGCAACATTTTTCGACAAGACGACACTTCGCTTTACATTACTGTGTGACACAAAACAACAATTAAAATGGTTTTCAGGGCTACTCTATTGCCTGAATTCCACAACCTAGTCATAGTCTCTCCGGTGTAAGACTATAAACTACTCAAGTCAAGTTCGAGTATTATTCAAAAAAATTAAAGTTGAGTTCATTTCAATTGGAAAGTTTATGATTTTAAAATTGTTAAGTTCGACTAAACTTAAAACCAAAAATCGAAATCCGACTCGAACTCAAAAAATTTGAACTTGAAATATTCTAAGACTTGGTTTGATTGAATCTCAAACTCGAGCTCGATTTAAACTCAAACTTGAGTTAATATATTAATAATTTAATTTAAAAATTAAAATTTTTAATATATTTTTTTCGAATTGCTCACAAAATTTTCAAGTAAGATATCAAATAGTTCGTTTTTACTTGTTAAAAACTAGAGTCGAGTCAATTCAATTCAAATATTGATTGAACTTTGACCAAATTAAACTCGAATAACTCATAATATGTCTCTTCTCATTTACCGCCTCTAATATCAACCAATGTAAATGGCTCTATTATATGGTGCACAATTATCGGTAATCAATTTTCTTTTGTCCAAACCTTATTTTACCCCAAACTTTTAAGCTGTACGAAATTTTAAAAACCAAACAAATTTCACTGGAAAAGAAACACGTTGGCTGTCTTAATTAATATCACCATGTTCTCTCTTTTCGTTTACAGCAATGTTGGCGGGGATGCCTAACCGAAGGAAAATGAAAAGAAAAGGCAAGAGTTGGCATGACCAGCACTCACACAATTGCAGACACTACATTTTTATTTATTTTTTCCAAGTTTTCAGTTGAAAGTAGTATAGCTACTACTAGCCTACACCTCTTGGTGGTTGTGTTTTGGCTATCAAAATTACAATTTTTTTATTGTTCACCGACACGCAAGGGGCAGTTAGCTTCTGGTAATGGTAGTTTAAAGCAACACATCTTTACTAGGATTGGGTTTTTAGTTTCTGAACCTGCTGAAATAATAGGTCTAGAGACTGATAGATTCTCTGGTTTCGTGTGGAAGAAGAGAGGAGAAACACGATCCGTCCATTTGGGGTTTGTGATGACAAGGATGCTCTTCTCTGCTGAAGCCAATTTACAGCCGACTGCCACCATTTTATAATCCACGTATTTCTGGACAAGATTTTACGTATGGGTAAATTACATTCCATGTCATTCTTTTATTAGCTCCATTACAAACATGTCATATTTTTTTCTAAAAATTATAATTTAGCTATTCAATTTGTTTTCTTTGGGTGTAATAACTTTCATGGAGAAATCAAAAAAATAACGAAAAGTGAAAGCACTGTAGAAGACATGATGGCATTACATCTAGGGTTTACAGCCAAAGTTTTATATTGTTTGCTTTCTTTCTCTGTCTGTTTCTTGTTATTTTTTTTAAACATATGAGCTTTTCATATATGTTTTTTATATTATGACGATAAATTTATAAATTTTAAAGAAATAAACTTATAAAATTTTATTAATAAAAAAATATTTAAAATATAATAAAATCTTGAAATATTTAGAAGCGATCATTTCATCTGTCCCTCGATCTATCTCTGATCAACCCGGCTCCTCCACCTCTATATTGCGTTTGTATCGTTGCCATCACAGCCTTTCTTAACATAGAAAAAGAAAAAGTTATATGCTTTACCTTAGCTTTCCTTTATGTATTTTTATTCACTTTCAATGGAGGAAACGAGAATGATGAGAAAAAGCAGTTAGCTTTAGCTGCATTAATAATTAAATGTTAGTGGTACTATAAAAGTAAAGACTGCTCAATTCTTTTCTTATCTTCTATGGATTTACTTTTGTATTCCATTTTTATTTAAATTATGGTGGGTTGTATAATTTAATTCTATGAACTTAACTATTTCTTCTTTTAATCGAATGGATAATTATATTTAAGTGCATGGGAATCCACATAAAACATTTGAACTTTAATTTTAGATGCCATTAAATATAGAGAAATTAAATTTGTTCAATTAATAAAAGTAATAGATTAATTTGATTTAAA